GGGGGAACTAGATAAAATTATTTCCAAAATTGGTCAAGTCTAAATCTTCTGTTGGGTTTTTGTCATCCAATCTATAAATCCCCCTTTGAGTTGAGCTGGGCTCCCCATGACTTCATGGTGGGAGGGAATAGATTGAGGAACAGCTGCTCTATCCTTATAGCATCTTCCGCCCTCCCCCTCATTTATATGACCTCCATCCTCCCCTCTTTTCACAAAGCAGACGATTTCGCTCTTTAAGAGAGCATTTGGAGATTAGGGATTGAGGCATGGATGGATTTAAACCCTTAGCAGGCTTTGCCTTATTTTTATACTAAAAGTTATAATTGTTTTATGAATTCTCTTAGTATTAGCCTCCCACGTCAGGGTAGCTCGGCAAACAAGCAAGGGAACAGTGGTGTTTTAATGACTTCTATGTCATTGTCTGAACTCTCAAACTAATCTGCATCCCTTACATTTCTTGGCGGCTTCTTATTCAAGTAGTAACCATCACGATCCTGTTCAGCCTGGATGCCATCGCCTTCTCCAATTACAAGCAGCTTCTTCTTCCAGGCTCCTTCACAAAGGCTGCTGTTGTGGAGTAAGATTTAACCGCCATTAAACCAACTTCTCTTATCAAGCAAGAGAGCTAACTCTTGCATAGATTCAATTTTTTTTAAATCTCTATTAGTTTTTATAAGTAGCTCAAAGTGGTGACATACTTAATACGCTTCCCCCCATCTTCCCCATAAGAATAATCCTGTGAGTGGGTGGGCTCAGAGAGTGACTGGCCCAAAGTCACCCAACTGGTTTCCATGCCTAAGGCGGAACTAGAATTCCATCTCCTGATGACTGGCCCAAAGTGATCCAGCCGGCTTCATGGCTAAGGCAGGACTAGAACTCCCAGTCTCCTGGTGATTGGCCCAAAGTCACCCAGCCAGTGTCATGGCTAAGGTGGGACTAGAATTCATGGTCTCCTGGTGATTGGTCCAAAGTCATCCAGCCGGCTTCATGCCTAAGGCAGGACTAGAACTCGCCATCTCCTGGTGATTGGCCCAAAGTCACCCAGCTGGCTTTCATGCTTAAGGCAGAACTAGAATTCACTGTCTCCTGGTGATTGGCCCAAAGTCACCCAGCCAGCTTTCATGGCTAAGGCGGGATAAGAACTCAGATTTTCCTTACCACTAGATCAAACTAGTAGTCAAATTCAGAGCAGATCAAATTCAAGAAATGCTCTGAAAATACACTTTGCTCATTTTGAACTCTAAACTTTGAGAAAGATTTTGGAATTTAGTAAGAACCTTTCCCTTCCCTTTATAATAATTGTCTTCTACCCAATTATAACAAAAGGTTTGCTAAACATGCAACCCTCTGCTAGAGAAGTAAAACCATTTTTTTTTCAGGCTGGTTTTCTTTCTTTGAGAAATTGAGACACGGAATGAACAGGCCAGTGACAGGGATAAAGGCTTTTTTAATTTTATCAAATAGATCTGTACAAAAGTTAGCATTAGTCAGAAGCCAGTGAACAAAACAGATAACTGACAACTTTCAAACTTTATACAGAAAAATAGATTGCATAAGTATTCCATCTTTAGCCCCCCTCTTTTGTGTTCCAAGCCCACCCACCCCACACAAATACGCATCTGTAAAGGAAAATGTGAAAACAAAAACAAACCCAAGAATATGAAACATAGAAAAGATAAGCTAGATAATCTCTGAAAGTTTAAAGTTTTATAAAGATTTGTTTTTCTTTTAAAAGGCACAAAGTTACCATTAGAATAGATGGTTGTTATATGCTCAGCATACAAAGGAACAAATATCAACAGAATTATTAGCCTACACCTAAGGATTAACCAAAACATAGTAGAGAATGTTAATTTTCACAGCTTTGATGAATAGCATCTGATTCTTAAATAGGGCAATATTAAAGTGAAACAGTGAGGAAATTCTGCTAAAACTGATCTTTCTTTAAAAAAAAATAAAAAAAGCTGTGACCCCCAGACCAATTCAAAATTGTAATATTTTCAAAAATATTTTTTTAGTTTGGAATTAGCTTACAATGGGTTTCCTTTTTCATACAAATTCACTCAAGATGGAGTGAATTCACTCCAAATTCACATTTTGCCAGGACAGAACAGAAATTCCAGTGAAGGACTCACAGTGCAAAATTTCAGGTTGCACCTGTTTCCTCTGGCAGGTGTCTGTGGAGATTCTCAGTCATCCAGGTCATAGTTGTTTCCATGGTACTTTTTCAAAAGGCACCTGGAGTGGGGGTTTTTTGGGGGGGGGAGGAGGAGGAGGAGGGAGGAAGGAGGAAGGAGGAAGGAGGAAGGAGGAAGGAGGAGGAAGGAGGAGGAGGAGGAGGAGGAGGAGGAGAAGGAGAAGGAGAAGGAGAAGGAGAAGGAGAAGGAGAAGAAGAAGGAGAAGAAGAAGNAGAAGAAGAAGAAGAAGAAGAAGAAGAAGAAGAAGAAGAAGAAGAAGAAGAAGAAGAAGAAGAAGAAGAAGAAGAAGAAGAAGAAGAAGAAGAAGAAGAAGAAGAAGAAGAAGAAGAAGAAGAAGAAGAAGAAGAAGAAGAAGAAGAAGAAGAAGAAGAAGAAGAAGAAGAAGAAGAAGAAAGTTGTCATTGTTATTGTGCTTCTCAGCCAAGAAGCGTATGGATGAGAAGCGAAATGTCTTAATTCTTCTCAAGGGAAAAAACAGTCCAGTTGCCTTTTGAAAAAACATCTTTGAGACTCTGGCAGGTGATCTGCTTTCCTTGAAATTTCCTACAGTTCTAGCAGGAAGCTCGTATCACACCTTGCCAGGTAAGATATTGTAATTTCCTTCCGATGGGGAACACCTTGCACAGTATTTTTGCACGTGTGGAATTCCTAGCGGTGGAATTTGGCTTGCAAAAGCTGGGTTGTGCGAAGGCACTTTGGAGATGCCACTGTGGAAGTTCAAGTGGGTCAACCACGGCCCCAAAACTGAGCTTGTTCAATTTGCTTGATAAAAGCATATATTCTGAATTCCATTAGTGCAACCTAAGTTCCAGCCCCCTCTGACTTAACAGGCAATGGATGAGAAAGTGTTTAGAAAAGGTTAACTCCATGAAACCTCTCTAAATAGAAATTAAAAGGACAAAAATTTAGAAAGCACCAGTATGGAGGCACACAGCCTATTTATGGCTGGAAAACCATCAAGAGAAAAAAAACATGTCACTTTTTCTTCATCTGGAATACCAAATATCAAGGTCACCTACTGACTCCGGAAAAGATGGAAAAAACAAGTCAGTGCCAGGAATTCATTTCCACAACCCAGACCTTCAGGTAAGCAACAGTCCTGCAAATTCAGGATCAGACATAGGTGGGCTCCCACTACATTCTAAGGCAGGGGTCTTCAAACTTGGACCTTTTATGACTTGTGGACTTCAACTCCCAGAATTCCTCAGCCAGGCACGCGTGCCTGGCTGAGGAATTCTGGGAGTTGAAGTCCACAAGTCATAAAAGGTCCAAGTTTGAAGACCTCTGTTCTAAGGCAATGTTTCTTAACCTCAGCAACTTTAAGACACGTGGACTTCAATTCCCAGGCTATGCAAAATCAACCATGCTTCTTCCAATTTACCAAGCTCTAAATCAGTGGTTCTCAACCTGTGGGTCGGGACCCCATTTGGGGTCGATCGACCATTTCATGGGGGTCGCCAAGCAAGGCTGTCCGCCATTTTTTTTATCCGCCATTTTTTTCCCCCTTTTCCAGCGGGTGCCTTACCTCCCTTGGGCTGGGCCAGCTGGTGGTCGGCCTGCTCCGTCTCTGCCGCTTGCCAGCTACACCTCGGCCGGCGCAGGGGGCGGAACCACGCATGTGCGGCGCTCCCGGGCAGGGAAAGTCCTCGACTTACGACCGGTTGGGTAGTCCTCGACTTACAACCGGTTTAGTCCTCGACTTACGACCGGTTTAGTCCTCGACTTACGACCGGTTTAGTCCTCGACTTACGACCAGTTGGGGTCGCGGCATTAAAAAGGTTGAGAACCACTGCTCTAAATGATTGTTTAGAAGCCATACAGCTATGCTGGGGCCAACAACTGGAAGAGCTAGATGAGCATTCTCTGGTTCCAGTGGCAGTCTACCTCAAATTCCATGTATTTGAGAAAAACAATATGGAGTGGCCGTCATCTTCATAGCACCTGGAAGTGAATGATAGCCAGAAGCAACCTGGCACAACTTTTGTTGAAACGGGGTGTGAATTCTGCTTTTTCTCCACCTCTTAGGTTCCTATATTATCACTGTTTCTTTTGAAGCATTTCTAATTTTCCTTTCTGACAAACTTTAAACGCTGCTTTTTTTCCTCTTTTTAACGAGTAGTGTAATTAGGGAGATGAGAAAACTCCTCCACTACTTCATGGACTATAAAGTCTTTATTTTATTTAAATTTCTACCTCTTGCACAGAATTACTTCATTAATTAAAAGGACAAAAATTACACAGAACATAAATACATATTTAACAGATTTACTCTCAAACAATGACAATATATATATATATATCAATGCACTTTTTAAGCTTCCAAACAAAATGTTAATTACAGCCAAACCTTGCTCAGAACTTCAACTAAAATTAAGAAATGCTGACATTAGTTGGTCCCCAAAGATTCTTGAATGGTCCCTCAGTATTGTTAATTGAACACTTAGGGTTTTTTAAAAAAAAACCCAGATGGATTTTTGTGCAAGGCTGATCTGTCCCTCGTTTGCCATGAAACCTTAAGCACCATCTTCGCCTCGACTTTTACAGAGTCCTGGATTTGAAATCCAAACTCCTCTCAAAGTTCTCACAGAGGAGTTGGAATGGATTGTCCTTCATCTTGTTCAAGAGCATTCATTGGTCCCGGTGTTGTTTAATATTATTTGCGAATCAGAATAAACAAAATAGAACTCTGCCTTGGAAAATCTAAGAGATTCTATGGAGGGATTGGCCAGGCAAAATGGGAGGCACTTCGGACTATGCAATGATGCTCCATTATGGTTCTTTGTTACTAATTATTATCATCCTTTCTTTGCTCCACCTTTGTTTCGGTGTAGTGCACACTGTTGAAGGCTGGCGGGGAAGACCTGGAGAAGTGGCTCCTTCCATCAGCTCAAGGTCTCGTCAGGGTTGTGTAGACTGGCTGGTCCCAGTTCGCCGTGGGGCTGTGAGAAGGGGGGATGGACAGGCTGTTGAGGATGGGGGTGGCATACGGCCGGCGAGAGGAATGGAAATATGGGTATTGGTAAATGCTGGAAGAGTAGCCCGAGTAGGGATTATAGTAGTTAGAACCCTGAAGATCTGTGTAGTCACACTGGGAGCTGGAAAAAGACCCCGTGGCTAAGCTCGGGGATACGGTGGTGGCACATGCCTGAGCACTATAGGATCCGTAGTCCGAATGGGTTGGAGAGTTGTGAGGCTGGTCACTGTAATGGCTAGGGCTGAGCTGTTCGGTCTTGATGTGAGGCCTCTGCTGGCTGGTTTCACTGGAAGAAGGAGAGGCAGACGCTGGGCTCTTGTGAGTCCATCCCTGGGAAGCCCCACCAGTGCTGCCGTTGGCCGCGTGAGCGTAAGAGGTCCCATAAGATCCTGCGGTGGAGCTCTGCCCGTGGCTGGCTGGCATGGCAGAGTGCCCATTGAGTGGCAAGTACTGGTCAAATTCATGGATGTCAAAGGCCTCCATGTTGTTGATGACCTCACTGCTCAACTCGGAGATGTCCACGTTGCTGAAATCAATGTTCTGTCGACCGCTTTCCATGAGGCGCCGGCCTTCGTGCTTCAGCTCTTGCTTGCCCCCAGGGTGTAGGTCTGTCTTAGGGGTGGTAGGTGGGGTAGGAGGCCCATGGGGCTGCCCTAGAGGAAAGTGCATTTAAAACAAAATCATCGTCTTACAAGTGGAAGATGGTTTAGCTTAAGCGCCAGCCCTGAAAGATATAGGGTGATCTTATTTAATAAAAATAAAAGAAGTAAGAAGCCGATCTGCAGAAAAGCAGAGGATCATCTGCTCTGGAAATCGGCTTTGGAAATCCTGCTATCAAGATATAAAAGAAGCATGGCTGCAGGCCAGGCCATTATTTCTAGAGGTACCCACCTACCAGAAAAACATTAAGCTGGGATGGTGAGGAGCAGGAGGGCCAATTTTAACAGAATAACAGAGTTGGAAGGGATCTTGGAGGTCTTCTAGTCCAACCCCCTGCTTGAGCAGGAAACCCAGTGGTGGGATTCAGCCGGTTCACACCACTTCAGCAGAACCGGTAGCTATTTTTTTGTTGCCCAGGCCCAGAATGGACTTCTGGAACTGGCATCCACACAGAGAACTGGTTGTTCACATATTTGAATCCCATCACTGAAGAGACCCTATACCATTCAAGTGGTTGTCCAATCTCTTTTTGAGAGCCTCAAGTGATGGAGCACTCACAACTTCTGAAGGCAAGTTGTTCCATCAATTAACTGTTCTCACAGTTAGGAAATTTCTCCTGAATTCCAGGTTGCTTCTCTCCTAGTTTAGTTTCCATCCATTGTTTCTTATCTTGCCTTCTGGTGCTTTGGAAAATAGTTTGCCCCCCTCTTCTTTGTGGCAGCCTCTCAAATATTGGAACACTGCTATATTTGAGGGGCTAAGAAAAGGCAAGGAGCAACCTGACAAACTTGCTTTCTGGCCAATGTGGGCTTATGATGTGGCAACCATTTGGCAGAGCATCTACAGTGTAAACTTAGAATCCCAGTTGTGCTAAACAGAAGGAACATGGGAGAGACCAATTAAGGGTTGACTGTACAGTGTACTCATTAGAAAATGAGTGGAATATCCAAAGCTTTACCTTCTACCACTTCCACCTTTGGGCCACCTTAGCAATTTTAAGATGTGTGGACTTCAATTTCCAGAATACCCCAGCTGGCACTGAAGACTACACATCTTAAAATGTCTAAGGATGGGAGACACTGAGCGAGCTCAAAACTTCTTATCTGACAGGGAAAGGATTCTCTTACATTCAAGGGAAGGTCTTTCCAAACCAACCAGACATTAAGGATAACATCTGGCACCCCTGGCCTGTAAAGCAAATGCTTTCCTAATAGCCTTCCCAACTCTGCATGTCGATTTGGTGAACTGCATATGCAGAAAAGTTTTGGAACGCCGTTCTGAGTGTAACCAACTGCAACGGAGAGAAATGGAAGCTATCGGGGGATAACAAGAAGTTGTCAAACCATTTAGCATAGCATGGGCCAGCTGAAAGAACTATACCACACATTGGTCAGGACTTAACCCAGGTCTGATTTGACTTGCTTTGCAGAATGAAGCTGAGTGTGCACTTTGATCTGATGAATGAAATTTGTCCAAATTTGTGAATGGCAACTTCGAGTGCACCTATTGTTTTATGGCAGTTTAGTGCTTTATAATTGGTTTTTCTGGTTTTATGACAAAAACTGCCTGGAGTAAACCAATTTAATACGAAAGGGATGCAGACACATGGCAAAGTCCATCAAATCTTCACACTGATTCAAAGATGCCAGACCAGAAGTCCCAAATCCATTCAGTGGGACAACTTGCTTCTAGAAGTTTTAGCTGCTCCAATACTGGAGGTTTTAAAGAAGAGATTGGACAACCATTTGTCTGAAATGGTCTAGGGCAGGGGTAGCCAACCTTGGCTCTTTTATGACTCATGGACTTCAGCTCCCAGAATTCCTGAGCCAGCCATGCTGAAGGGAAAGGGAGAGGCTTCCAAGCTGAGCTATGCTGGCTCTGGAATCCTGGGAGTTGAAGTCCACAATTCATAAAAGAGCCAAGGTTGCCTACCCCTGGTATAGGGGTTTCCTGCCTCCTGCTTGGAGGACTAGAAGACCTCCAAGCCAAGGTCCCTCCCAACTCTGTTATTCTGTTATTCTAGGGAAGCAGGGAAAGAAGTCCAAGGAAAGAGAGACATAAATCAAAAGAAGGGGAATCTATCAACAGTTCTTCTGATAAAGAGCAGCTCAGCTCAGGTGGGGAGAAGCATTTCCAATCGTGCAAATGAACTCCTTATAAAGGAGGCTGGGAAATTACTCTTGCAGGTTCTAGCGATCTGCATTTGCCCCTAACTCTAGCATTAAAGAGACTTTATTGGAATCTGGCTAGTTCTTGCTTTCTTGGTCTAGTGCAACTGAGTGAGTCTGGAGAACAGCCTTTGAATCTTTCACAGAAGCTTCACACAGCCCTTATATCAGTGGTCTCCAATCTTTCTGGCTTTGGGGACCAGCAGCGGTTCCAATGGGAGGGGGGGGGGGGATGGTTCCGCACAAGCAGTGGGTGTGCACACAAGTGGAGCTGCCTGTGTGAGTGTGCTCACCCACTGCTTATGTGGCCCAATTCCAAATGGGCCGTGGCCCGGGGGTTGGGGACCCCTGCCGAATATCATGTGTATGTCTGCATACACACATACACGCAAGGGAATTGAGCTGTAAGGGGCCTTGGAGGTCTTCTAGTCCAGCCCCCTGCTCAAGCAGGAGACACTGCACCATTTCAGACAAGTGACTGTCCAGTCTCTTCTTAAAAACCTCCAGTGATGAAGCCCCCATAACTTCTGAAGGCAAGCTGATCCACTGGTTAATTGTCCTGCTGTGAAGCTGACAAGGGCAACTACTTTTAGAAATCTGAGCATGTGGTCTGAACAGCAGGGAAAGTTACTGATGACTTTGCATGCCCAAACTGCAGGATCACGACGACTCCAGCTTTGTAACAAGGACAGATAAGACATCAATGCTCTATTGTGACGGGGGAGCCTCGGGAGGGCTCATCCCACTCCCCCCCCGACTTTCCTATTTTTCAGAAAATATGTTATTGTTGCAATAAGCACAGCAGAGGCTTAAACTGCATTTTTTTCCCATCCATTTCCTGCTGAAAACCCATCTCCCACCTAATTCCAGTAGCAAAGTACAGAGAGTCCTTGCCTTACGACCACAACAGAGCCCCAAATTTCTGTTGTTAAGTGAGACATTTGTTGTGAGTTTTGCCCCATTTTACGACCTTTCTTGACACAGTTGTTAAGCCAATCATTGCAGCTGTTAAGTTAGTAACCCAGTTGTTAAGTGAATCTGGCTTTCCCCATTGGCTTTTGCTTGTCAAAAGGTCACAAAAGGTCACATGGCCCTGGGACACGGCAACCGTCATAAATACGAGTCAGTTGCCAAGTGTCTGAATTTTGATCACATGGCCATGGAGATGCAATATAGGTTGTAAGTGTGCAAGGATTTCTTGGGAAGCTGCAAAAAAAATAGGGATGAGCTGCACCGAGTCGGGCTTTCTAAGCTGCCAGAATCCAGTTTCAGTGAGGAACTTTGATTTATCAATTTCTCAAAAACTTTTAAAAATATCCCTGCCGTGCAACAGCTGGAAATAAAAAAAAAAGGGGGGGAAACCAGGAAGTTGCTTATTGGGGGAAATTACACCTTTTGCAGCCTTCTGACAAGCAAAGTCAATTGGGGAGCCAGATTCACTGAATAACCGGGTTACTAGCTTAATCGCTGCAGTGATTTACTTAACAGATGTGGCAAGAAAAGTCGTAAAATGGGACAAAACTCATTGAACAACTGTCTCAGCAACAGAAATTTTGGGCTCAATTGTGGTCCTAAGCCAGGAATGCTGGCTCAGGAATTCTGGGAGCTGAAGTCCACAAGTCACAAAAGGGCCATAGTTCCCCACCCCTGCTATAGGGTCTCCCATAGAATGCATAAAGATACATGCATGGGGGCCCTGCTCCCAAGACCCCTTGGAAGGAAAAGGAGACCCATGTGCAAGAGCTGTCCACAAACGTGTTCAGAGTGCACCAATTTCTGAACATGAATATACTTTTAGCCCTCAGCTGTGGAACTGAGCACAGAGCCACAAGGTCTTGGCTTTATGCCCAGGAGCAGAAGCCAGAAATGGAAAAATCCCAGCTTTCTTGCAAAAAAAAAGACTGTGAGTAGAAGAGAAGTAGAGAAGAAACTGCCAATTTTGTAGGGGGGGGAGGGGGATATTCTCAGATTGTAGCCTGTGTTGGCCAAGGCACCTGGGACAGCTCCAAAGAAAAAGTGGGAGCCCATGGGAAGCATCCTGCAAGCGCCACCGTTCTGGAAGGAGAAAGGCCCCAGAAGTCTCATGGAGAAGGACATCTACTCTATCAAACTTCATTGATTGATTGATTGATTAATGTTCTCATGGTATCTGGAACTGAGCCTTTCTTTTCCCAAGAAAATCATCCCAAATAAATGCACCAAACGGGAGAACTTGAAATATGACCAGAGCTGCCGAATCTCCACCTACATTCATGCTATTTCTCATGACACGAGACATCCAAGATAAAGCAAATTAAGGATTCTGCCCTTGAACAAACTGTCATGTCTGCCATCTCCAACTTCTTCCCTTCATTGGCATCCTCCCATAAATTGTAAGGGAGGAGAGAAGGAATTGGGGGGAGTAACATGTGGGCCTGGGAATGAAAAGGGGGGAGGGGAGGGAAGACACATTGACAAGCATCAGAGGTGCTAAGTTGGAATAAACCAACATCCAAGGACACCTGGCCTGGGAATTGAATGTGAAACTAGATTGAGAGGCGCCAAGCTCCGAGCCATTCCCAAAACATCTTGAAGGCAACCTATTGGACACTGATAAACTGGTCAAGGGGGGGGGCAGGTGTAACCTTTATGCAGGAATACTCAGATCTAGCTTTACTTTCGCTGCAACCACTTAACTTTAGTAAAAGAACCTATTGCTTCAACCAAACAGAGTCGAGGGTCTTTCTTTCCTAAATGTCTAAGATGGGGCAGGTCTGACACAAAAACTCTTCCCTTCCCTCACCTGTGTGGTCACTGGGGTGATGCACTTCACTCATCGAGCCCAGCCCTGAGTCTGATTTGTAGATCTGGGATCCTCCGTGATGGTTCAGCTCAGCTCCTGAATCTGAATCGCTCTGGCCGGCTTTGACACTTTTCCTCCGACGTGGCTGGTATTTGTAATCTGGGTGATCCTTTTTATGTTGAACTCTCAACCGTTCCGCTTCCTCCACAAAGGGACGCTTCTCATTTTCACTCAGCAAGCTTAAAAAAAAAGAGAGAGGAAAACTAAATGAGTCATTCATGTATGCCTTTAACCCAATTTAAGACTAACACTCTTATGTAGTCCCAAAAACATAATCGGTGCCCTGTTGGATCAGATCAACAGCCCATCTAATCCAGCAGCCTGTTCTCTCGGTGGCCAACCAATTGCACAAGGAAGCCCACCAGTCTCCCAACAGAGGGTCTTCACAGGCAGTCCCACTGCCGTCAAAGCTAAGAGTCATGGATCCCCCAGGACTTCTATGAATCTGTCCAAACCTTTTTTTGAAGCTAAGAAAACTTTTGGGTACAGCAAGCATCACATCTCGTGATGGCAAATTCCAAACTTGAATCACTCGTGTTGAGTTGTGTGGTTACATATGTCCTAATTCTTCCAGGATTCAATTGTATTGGTTGGTTCTAGTATTTGAGGAAAAGGAAAATAACTTCCCCTTGTTCACTTTATCCATCCCACATCTAACTTTGTACAACACTGACATCTCATTCACCTCCTTTCTAGATTAAAAAAAATCTTTGTTCACAGGGAAGATGTTCCAACCCCTTGATCACCTTAGTTACCCTCCTCTAACCTTCTCCAAGTTCCCTTATGTCCCTTACAAGATGCCCTGAACAAAACTGTGCACAATATTCCAGATGTGGTCACACTAGTGATTCTTCTAAGGGCGTTATAATATTGGGTAATGGTAAGTGAGAATGACCTTGGGAGACAGGGAGAAGAGACTCAGCCAAGGAAATTGTCAGGTAAAAGGCAACTTAGCCAGCAGCAGGAATGGGGATGGGGCAAGAAGATGCTCAGAAGAGACCCTCCCCCATTTCTTGAGCTGTAAAGGGGATGGGGGGAGGGGAAATATACTTTTGAATTTGCAAGTTTCTGTTAATATAACCTTACAATAATGTAGACTTAGCTCATCTGGCCTTGCTTACTATTTGGTCTTTCTGTCAGACTTGCCACAGCGTAAACCTCTAAATAGAAACAAGCCTTGGCTCCATTTGTTGAGAAAGGTATAGTTTATTAGAAGTTGAGCGTATTACAATAATGCATAGCCAGAACCGAGAATCGCGCGCCAAAATCCTTATGTTCAACTTTTCCCTCCCTTAGCCGCCTCCCATCGCTGACCACACACGCATACACACGCACACCGTATCCAATCAGATTGAAGCAAGGTACCAGAGTTTGCCTCTATGGACACATGAGTCCAAATATTTCCTTCACTTCAAAGTGTTGCTTGTCCTCAATGAGATCAGGAGGGGGAAGGGCTTCTGCTGATGGTCGTAATGGGGAGCATTTTGCTGGTTTAAGCAGATTACGGTGGAAGACAGGATGTATCCTCTTAAGGTTTTTTGGTCATTTAAGTCTGACAGTTACCGGGTTGATCATTCTTACCATAGGGAAAGGGCCTACAAATTTTCTCCCAGCTTTCTCAAGGGTTGTCTAGACCAATCTCTGGCCGTGGCCCACTACTGGACCTTGAGACATTCGGAACCGGGCTGCAGAAGTGGTGGGCGAGCATGCGCATCCCCACTTGCACAAGCAACAGGTGGATATGTGCCTGCCACCCACATGGATCCATCCCATCTCCTCCCTCCGCCCGGTTCACAAAACTGGAAATGTTGGGGAACTCTGGTCTAGACCAGGGGTAGGCGACCTTGGCTCTTTTATGACTCGTGGACTTCAACTCCCAGAATTCCTGAGCCAGCCACGTTGAGGAGAAATGGAGAGGTTTCCAAGCTGAGCTATGCTGGCTCTGGAATCCTGGGAGTTGAAGTCCACGAGTCATAAAAGAGCCAAGGTTGCCTACCCCTGGTCTAGACTGTAGATTCATGGTGGACAAATACACTTCATCCCCTATCTTGATTTTTTTCTGAGGGGACTTCTTGTCAGCATATTTCTTATAGGTTTTTCTGGCTTCATCCAACGCCTTGCGAACTCTTGGCCAGGGATATTAGCACCTCTCTTGTTGATATCGTTTCTCATTATCCCAAACACACAGTGTGTAGAGGATACACCCTGTGCTAATACCTTCATTGAACGTCATATGTACCTTGGGTCATTGAACTGTTTCTCATTACTCTAAAATCTCTTTCCCCCATTGGTCCCTGCAGGCTCTGATCTCATTCCTTTGCATAAGTAGTTAGAATTTTTGGTCCAAGGTACATATCATGCAAGACCCCCATCCTTCTTCTCCATGGGATTTTAACTGCCTGTCCAAATGGGAAATTATCTCCAATGCAGAGCTCAATATTTTTTACTTAATGAAAATAAGCAACAAACCACACTTTTAAAAACTGAGATACACCAAACCAATTCCTCATGGCCCACATCACTATGTTTTACCCCAATCTCCAGTAGCACATAACAAATATAGTCACATTTTTTGTTACATTGCTTTAATATTATTTTTCCCGTTAAAGATGGCACTGCCAATGGCAGCCTTGGTGAAATGCTCTCTAGTTGTAACTATGATTTATAACCTATCACTTGCTGTTTATATGAACATTATGAACTTCTGCACTGGAGACAAATTCCTTGTGTGGCCACTCACACTTGGCCAATAAAGAATTCTATTCTATTCTATTCTATTCTATTCTATTCTATTCTATTCTATTCTATACTATACTATACTATACTATACTATACTATACTATACTATACTATTCTTCATTATTCTATTCATTATTATTCTATTCTATTCTATTCATTATTCTATTCATCATTATTCTATTCATTATTCTGTTCATCATTATTCTATTCTATTCTATTCTATTCATTATTCTATTCATCATTATTCTATTTTATTTATTCTATTCTATTCTATTTATTCTGCCAAATTACAGGATAAATTTCATGACAAACAATATTAAAGATGGTTTCTGGGGGGGAAATGATTACAGTTTTAAAAACACAGAACAGCCAAAGACATTTCAGAACAATAAATTACTTAACCTTTACAGAACTAGAAGATATGCTTCCAATAACAATAAATAAATAAATAAATAAATAAATAAATAAATAAATAAACAAACAAACAAACAAACAAACAAACAAGCAATATAACCAAGGAGTATGTTAGCATGTACATGGCTCTATCTGAAATCAACAGAACTATTTAACTGGTTGGATTCTATGGCCAATCCTTCATTTTAGCCTTTCCCCAACCCTTTGCCATCCAGATGTGCTGTGAATGTCATGGCTAGAATTGTTGTGATTCCAACTGTTGCAACATCTGAAGACTATCACACTGGGGAAGACCACCATAACCGACATCCCCTGGAATGCATCCCACAGATGCTTTACTTTTCACTCCACAAACTGAGCTGGACTTGGGATCCCATGAATAAAGCCCTACTGTCAACACTGCCTCACTCCAGCTTCACACAAGGACAGAATCCAAATGAAAATGAGCTTTCTTCACATTTCCTATGCTTTTAAGTATTTTAAACAAAGCTTCTAAACTTTGCGACAAGTTTAAGAGACAAGCTTTTCCTTTATAATGAATAACCCAAAAAATATCGCAATCCGCCAACGCGCCATGGCTGACTTGTTGTGGCCAACGTGCTGCAGGACAACTTGCCAAGGCCAGCATGCCATGGGATAATTCCCCAATCCAATTCTTTAAAACGATTTAAAAAATGTTTTTAATTTTTGTCATTTACATTTCACTCTGTCCCTCCTTTTGCAGCATTTAATGATTCTGTTCCATCAGCCGAGGTGACGCAGTGGTTAGAATGCAGTACTGCAGGCTAATTCTGCTGACTGCCGACTGTCAGCAGTTTGGCAGTTCGAGTCTCACCGGCTCAAGGTTGACTCAGCCTTCCACCCTTCTGAGGTCAGTAAAATGAGGACCCAGATTGCTGGGGGCAAGAGGCTGACCCTGTAAACCGCTTAGAGAGAGTTGTAAAACACTATAAAGCGGTCTAAGTGCTATTGCCCTTCCTTCCTTCCTCCCTCCCTCCCTAGTAGCTAGAATGCAGCATTACAGGCTGACTCTGCCCATAGTCAGAAGTTTGATCCTGACCAGCTCCAGGTTGACTCAGTCTTTCATCCTTCCCAGGTCAGTAAAATGAGGAGCCAGATTGTTGAGGGCAAGAGTCTAACCCTGTAAACTGCTTAGAGAGGGCTGTAAAGCATTATGGGGTGGTATATAAGTCTAAGTGCTATTGCCCTTCCTTCCTTCCTTCCTTCCTTCCTTCCTTCCTTCCTTCCTTCCTTCCTTCCCAGTGGTTAGAATGCAGCATTACAGGGTAAAATGGGGACCAGACTGTTGGGGGCAAAAGGCTGACTCTGTAAACCGCTCAGCATTATGGGGCAGTATATAAGTATAAGTGCTGTTGTGAGTTGGCCATGGCAAGTTGGCTGCAGCAAGTTGGTCATGGTGAGTTGGCTGTGGTGAGTTGTCCTACCTAGACCCCAAAAATAATGCAACAGAAAACCAAAGAACGCATTTGTTTCCTCTGTTTCTCTTTAAAAGAGAGAGAGAGATTAGTGGCTTACCTCTCAAATGTCCAAAATCTGCATCGGAGAGAAACTGGCTTGGCTACAATACTGCAATCCTGTAGTTGTTTACTAAGTAGCAGAACTCGACTGAACTCAGCACAGCTCAATTTGGAGCTGAGAACCACAAGAACACAATCTTCCATTTACATTTTTCAACAAGGCCTTGTTCAATAAACAAGGATCTATTTCAGGGGCATCGACTATATTTTCTTTTCCAGCTTTCCACATAAAAGTAAATAGCTTCTGAATGGATAGAAATGGAAATAGAATCATAAGGCTACAAGGGTCCTTGGTGGTCTTCTAGTCCAGCCCCCTGACCCAGGCAGGAGTTGAAAAGTTGTCCAATCTTTTCTTAAAAACTTAAAAACAAAACCCCTCTCAGCAACGGAGCGCCCACAACTCCAGGAGGCAAGCTGCCCCATTAATTAATTGTTCTGTCAAGAAATTCCTCCTTATTTCCAGCTTGGATCGTCCTTTGACGAGTTTC